ATCAGCAAAAAAAAAAAAAAAAAAAAAAAAGGTGGGGGAAAGGGGGCAAAAAATCCAGCCAACTGAAAACCAAAGGTGATGTGATTAAGCTCAAATACTGATCACCCTGAAATAAAATCCAGGATTCAAAGTTCCTGTGCAACGGGGAAGACTATGGTCCAGAAGATTTGATGTTGACTGGTTTCTGTCGCAGATTTAACTGAATTGGAATATGCTTGGTCCTGCCTTTCAAGGAACTGTTCATTTGGATTCATGGGTTGAGCCAAAGACACAAACCAAAGAAGGCTTGTTTGTTATGGTCTTTGGCATTTCTTATCTGTGATTCTGAAGTATTTGATATGTCACCAGTAGTCACTCTTGAGTAGTTTTTGAATTTATATAAAACTCTTATGCTACAGACAGCTGAGCTGATGTTTCTTGGCGGGAGGGGAGAAAGGGGTTGAGTTCATTTCTTTGTCCACCCTGTACAGCGTTTCCCATCTGCCTCAAACAGATTTTAAAAGACCTTTGCATCAGATGCGTTTGCAGCTCAGCCAGCACGCAGCTCTGTTGGATGTAGATGGTACTCCTCAATTGTCATACATTTAAGAAACTTTTTTCTAGCTGTGCTCCTGGAATCAAATAGAACAAAAGAAGAGAGAGCGCAGAAGTAATTTCCACTAATCCTCAAATAACCATATTTCTAATATCCAAGCCATTCAGACCTTTCATAACAGCCATATTTTCATTCCCATAAAGAGACTTAGCTTACAAATGCAAAATTATCTGACCAGGATTTGGATTCCATGTGAGGATGTTGCTGGGATTTCATAAGCAACAAAGTCATGACAGAATTGCCAAAGTTAAATTGCTGGAATTAATAGTCTTTCGTGGCCATCCACCAAAGCGTCACTGTTTGGAGCAGCTATATGCTAGTTCAAGTACTGGATGCTCGGTCAGCGTACACTACTTGAGCTGTGTATAAATATCAGTGAGAACGTTGTCACTTACAGCATTATACTAAACCACTACAGCAGCAGGTGCTTGTGGTGTTTCACTATCAGCTTTCATCAACATCAAAGGAAGTCATTTCATTGATTTCAGTAAGCATAGGATGGGACAAAAAGAAGGAAAGAGGAGCAAGAGACCAAGATCTCATGTGTGGATTTTTTTTTCCTTCTCACTGGTGTGTGACATTTCCATCTTTAGTTTTGATTAAATTTCCCTTAGTTAGCCCATTAAGCTAAAACCACCAGAGCTAATGATTGAAATGTTGGTTAACTGATGATCTTGTTTCAATGGAATTGGAAAGACGTCATATTTCTAAATTAGTAGTGACATTAAATTGGAGAAGAGAAAAAGATGAACCATTTCTTGCAGAAATGCTTGTCTTAAGAGAAGGTTTGTACTGAATCTGTATTTGTGTTAGAAAAGACATCTAATTAACAGGCAACACGAGAAGCACTGGTGGATCTAGCACTGTTTGACGTTCACATGATTCTTCTGTTTGGGAGCTTTTCTGTCATTTTTATTTATCCCTGATGAACTTAAGGAAGTCTCTCAAGAATTCTGGTCCCAGTGCTCCTGTCTCTGGCATGTAGGGTAGGACTATCAAGCAATTGGTCACTGAGCAAGCCAGGTGAACACAACAGGACACGTTCTGCTGCTTGTTACAATCTGTGCAGTTAAAATCAGCAAGGCTATCTCTTAACTTGAATGAGCTGTGAACAAGAGTAAAAGGTAACCTATTGCATTGTTATATGGGTGTGTTAGATGACGTTCCTTGACAGAAGTATTGTTTTATATCATACCTTCCTTTTCTTAGGGACTGAACATTAGAGGACTCTTGTATGTATAACCCTTTGTTGTCTGAAGAGACAAGATATGAACAGTGCATGAACAGTCAACATCCTGAGGCATGAAGCTTAGGTTCTGCCCAGGAAATTGCCCAAAGCTCTTTTCAGAGATATTTAGTTGCCTGCATATGGGAAGAAGGTCCTTGGAAGTCCTTGCAGAAGTACCTATCTTCTTTTATGTAACCTGACCTGAATTCTGCAGAAGTGGAGGTAAAAGCTGGCACTGAAGAGTATTTCTAAGAGCTACTTATTTGTCTTTGTACTTAATTGCCCAGGCTCAGTTTAGCGCCGCATGGATGTAAGTACACATCAAAATATCCACCTCTCCAAATGGCGTTTAGTGTGCAGCCTCAGCAGACAGACCAAAGATGAGATGCATCACATAGTCTCAACTCCAGTGGTCCCTTCAGCTTGACATCAAGGCTTGCTGTTTACTGGGCATGGATTCTCAGACACAAGCCCACTGAAAGCTGAGTAGTTGAATCAGTTTCCACCTTACTTCTTCCTGGAGGTTTCAGCATCGTACAACAGGGAGCGAGAAGCCTCTGCTGAGTTATGGTTAAACTACTAATATGCAGTTTACAGACCAGTGTGGGTGCTGATTTCCCTTAACATTCCAGCCTGGGACCCCTGGTGGTTCAGAAGCTGTTTCAGTTATGGTTCAGTCATCTCTGCTACTGGAACAGTAACCTAAAGGAAAAAGTGGGACAGAGCCCACTTTGTCAATCCAACAGCCTATGTTTGAGACTTAGATGGCGTGTCTCAGGTTGAATGGCTTATGTTTTATGCTGGCGCCTATAATGTCATCTGAAATGTTGTGGAACGTCAGCTGTGGAGCAAATAGCAGTGGGCTGGGAGGACAGCAGATATGCTTGGAAGCAAGTTTTGTAATGTTCCTTCTAGTTCCCCCAACCGTACCCACAATGGGTTTCAGGTACACTGACTAAGAATTGTGAGGCTTCCGGCAATGTCAAGCTGCAGCTGCGCTTTGTGTGGACTGGGAAGGAAAATACACGCTTTTGCAATCTTCAGAGTTATTTGGATCGAGCTGTTACATTTTTGGGCTCATAAGGGCAGATCACTCAGGAAACAAAATTATATTTTGGTGTTTGGCGTTTCCTTTGATGCTGGGGTAGTCTCCTTCAACGTACTTGCTGCTCATTGTGTCTGACAGTTGCTCTTTCATAGCAGCTGTTCCTGTCTTTAGAACATAAAAAGTCCATTGTAAATTACTGTCTCTGCATGTCTGACACATTCTTTCTATACTAAGGAGGGAGATGTTTCAGTATTGAGGTGCTGTTATTTTGCTTTACAGGAAGTAAAGAGTGAGGAAGGAGGAACATAGTAAATACATGAACTCTTTTCTGCTATGAACAGACTTTGTTCTGTTCAAACCCCTTTGCGTGTTTTGGAGGCTGCTGCAAATTTCTTCTTTTTAAAGTTTTCTGTTTGGTTGGCTCAGCTTTTATGCCTGTACCTCCTAAAGCTTTAGCTCAGTGAGAATGCCAGTTGCAGAATAAGAAGACACTTCATTCCAGACATCTTCAAAAGGCACGTATATTCTTGGAGTCTATTGTAGTAAGTCATCATTGGTAGAGAAAGCTGCCCTGTATCTGAGATCAACATGGAAGTTAGTTAAGCTTTTTGATGGGGCCAGTTAACTGAAACAAAACACAGGAATATGTTGTCCCCGAAGTAAAAGTACATATGAGCATAGATACTCCACCTGAATAGTGTTTTGTGGGATTGGTTTGTTAGCGAAGAATAGGTGGATTTTAAAAACAGCAGGAGACATCAAGACCAATATAAGAGTACTGATAGCAGACAAAAAGCTGGCAGAGGGCATTTTAGACCAAGTCCTGGGTACAAAGGACTACTAGCGTTTGTAAGAAAAAATTGTTTCTGTTGATATTTAAACTCTTGCTGCAGTAAAGACAACAGGACTTTGTGCTTTCTTTTCAAGTAAATAGGACTGCTTCTCAAAAGTACCTTATTCTGTCATCAATTTTGCCTCTGAACTGAAACACCTGCAAGATTTCGCATTCTGACTAAACGCTTATACCTAAAAATGTAGAAGGAACCGTCACCTAGTGATCCAAATTAAAGTGATCCAAATGAATGGGTTTAACTTGTGCCAATGTAAAACATCAAGAAGCAGCAGAGAGTGAGGTTTAAGTAATATTTCATATTCTCCTGCAGCTTATTATATATCATAGGGTAGTCTTATATTTTTTATAGTCAGGACGCAATCTCTCAGAGTTGTATCTGACCTCAGAGACATGGCTGGCTGCTTTTAGAAATCGCTCTTCTGTACAAAGCATAGGATTATGGCCTTCCTGGCAGATATGCATCAGGAGCAGATGAACTTTCTAAGCTAAGAGCCAGTCTAAACCCACAAGTGCCCTGAATCATTACATGACCTATATACTTACAAAATTTGAAACATTTCACTGTGAATTATTTTTGATGTACCTATTGACATGTGATGTCACTGAGGGTGAATTTACAGTGATCTTTCTTTTGGTAACCTGGGAGTGGCAGAATTCCCCTGCAAAAGCCAACCGAGTATATGAAAGTGATTTAAGGCAAACCTGCCCAACTTCTACAAGGCGATAATGAGTTCTGCCATTCCTGTAGACTACCCACTGTCAGTTCTTCTCTTACTTGACTGCCAGGACTGCTAGGTATGCCTTGTTTCCTCAAGGATGGATCAGCACCAAATACTTACTGAATTGGTTTCAGCCTTTCATTGCCAATTTCTTTTAAAAACTCCTAAATGACTTTAAGAGCCCCAGTCTACTTATTTATCTTAAGACTGCAGGGCATAAATCATCTGTGAATATAAAATAACTTGGGTGTCTACCTTTTTTGTGCCAGAAGCCAGGGGACTTTGACTTTTTTGCTGACACCTGCACACACATGGCTCCTGTACTTTTGGAGGGATAAGGTGCTAAATCATTTCTCTGTCTAGCTGTATACATGTACAGTTCACCTCGTCAGATCACCCTTGCCCACCTGGGGTTAAGATACTACTTCTGTCAATTTAATACTGTTATCTGTCAAAGGAAAGCTTTTTTTCCTCTTTCTAAAACTTATTTAATTATGAGTAATTCTGAATTTCATCTCTTTAACAGAATTTAATCCCTATTCTTCCAATCTGTGCAGGTTTTGGTTTCAGATCATCGCTTCATGGGAAGAAGGATCCGATGCCATTATTGCTTTTGACAATGTCTCTCTTAGTCTGGACTGTTATTTAACAAGTAAGTTTGCCTTTAGTTTGCTAGTGGTTTGTCTTCTATTTGCTATGCAAGTGAAATTTGGACAAGGGCCGAGACTGTAAGGAAGAGATTGAGTGTCGTGTGAAGAAGGTTCTTGAAATTTAAAGGTATGTTTCTGAAATAACTGTGCTTAGATGAAGGAGACCTGTTCAGATGCATATCTTATTAGCGAAGCTGACTAGTGAATGGGTTCTGAGTTTGGCAGTAAACGGATGGTAAGACATATGGTGTGGGAGAGTGAACTACTGGCTGAGATGTTAGTATCACCTCTCCAGCAACCTGATCCAGGAGCCAGTCTGTGATTATAGGGAGTTCCACATGACCTGGTTTGCTGTGTGTGACAGTTTTCAAAGTGAATGGCAGTTGGGCTCTGGCTTGGAAAAGACTGGTCTGTCTGTGATTGACAGTAACTTTGCAATAACATTGGACACAATACTCCGGTTGAATTAGAACAAGTTTTTTTTTGCTTGGGCTAATGTACATTTAAGTCTGAATCAGAAACTAGGATCTCTAACTCTCTTCCAGCCTTGGGAAAAATTTGGGTTCAGATCCAGACTTTTTGATTGACCACGCTCTAGAATGTGCGCAGTCTATACCTTAGCTGCCAGATTTACCCCATTCAGATTTTTGTTGAGCCTTTGTGTCCGGCTCATCTTTCATCATCTCATGCATAGTGAATTGCTTAATTCATAAACACATCCAGCGATCCATCATTCTATACCTCGCACCAACAACTTGCATGAGGATTGCTACTTAGAATACACGAAACTTTTACCTTGGGCTGAACAGTACAACCTCCATTTCCTGAGCTTGAAGCTACAACCACTGTTCTCTCTAGTAGTTCTGTAGCAGTTCTTCAGATTGAACTAATTTTTCATCCAATGGCAGTCGGAAAGTTTCATCCACTTTCTGGAGTTGTATTAATTTACATTGGCTGGGGCTGTGAGTCTTTCCATTTATGCAGTGATACCTCTTGGTTTCTGTGTGTAAGTATGATGTATCTTGGCCTGCAGTATTCTAAAGAGATCCTATAATTAGCCTGCAATTTAAAAAGATTGCATATATTTTTACTGACTAAAAGAGAAGCTTTCTAACAGTTGCTAAAGATTATATTCTGTATTTCTGCTTTGTGTCTTCATTCATATGCTGTTTAATCAATCACTCATTCCTCTCTTTATTTTTCATTTGTAACAGCTCCCATAACAGCAGTGAAAACTCAATCTGCTCTTTCCTTTTAATATTGACATATCCTGTGGCTGCAGGCTCATGTTCTAGCAGAGAAGCTTTCGGCTGTTATTTACCTCGAGTTTTGGATTGCATGCTGACTCAGAACAGTGAAACCAAACTCTGACTTTTTGCTTCTAGTCAGGGGAGAGAAGTCATCTCAAGGTGTCAGTCCGGACTCGAGCAATTTGCTTACCAACAGAGGTGGCCAGAAGAAGTTTGGATGGGAACAAAAGCTTCTGGAAAATCTCCAGCTCAGCACCGCCCCTGTTTCTGGTCCAGCAGGTAGGAAATTGTCTGGCCTGTGAAGCGTTTTCAGATTGCTGGGGTCTCCAACAAGTACAGATATCAGTTAAATGTGCTGAATGCAATATGATATCTTTTTTGCTTTTTTTTTTTTTTTTTTTACCAAAGCCTTTGTTCAGAGCTTTTCCCAAGTCCCTTACAAACAAAACAAAGCTGTAAAAAAGCAAGTGCCTTTAGCTGTTATCTATGACTTGGATTTTGATTGCAAGCCTGTGAAAGAAAAGAACCAGAAGGAGGCTCTTCTCAAAGTAAGGATGTCCAGAGGAACAAAGTACAGCCTGTGGTAATCTGAACACTCATCTCCAGTTAGTATAGACGTGGTATGAAATAATAAAGCTTCTCCTCCTTTTCAGCAATGTTTTTGTTCCCTATTTGAAATATTACAGTATTTTTTATTTTAAAAAATGTAGCTTCCAGTTAGTTAGAAATGTAAGCCTTGTCCGAGCAGTCTTATTCCTCTTCCTAAATCCTAGCTTCCTGTGATGTTTGTTCTCACTTTGCCCCTGTTCCCCTTTCCAGCTAAGTTGCAGTTGCTTGGCCCAAACAGAAGCAAAATCTCCCTTCTCTCCTCTTTACAGCACTGCATTCCAGCCAGTTGTCTCCTCTCTCCCAAGCCCGATATTCTTGCCCATCCATTCCCAGTATCTGTTTCAGGCTCTACACATGCATGTCTGTTTCAGTCCACCTCCCTCCTTCCTCCTCCTTGACAGCTTTTCTCCCTGGTTTGATTCAATTAGCTACTGCCTCAAGCCTGCCTGGGGGACTATGAGGAGCAGGGATGAGCACTGAAATGTGGGGTGACTACCAGAGAGACACGCATTTGCTACAGCTGCCACCCTCAGCGTTGTGTGCAGCTATTTCTCCTGACTAAGGGCTAAAGTTACTTGCCTGACAGTTTAAAATATCACTCCTCTTAAGGTAGAGAACAGGGGCACCAGTTGATGTATGCCTCCTTTACCTTGTCGGTAAGCCCAGGAATTTGTTCATGCTACCTCGATCACTTCCATTCTTCTGTCTTAGTTAGCTTCTTTAAATCTATTCTAGGTTGTGTTTGACTCTGCTACCTGGCAGTGTACTGTTGAAATACATGAACTAGTGTTAAGTTACCTCTGACACCAACAGGAATCTAGTCAGTATGGTCAAAAGCTCCACACAGTCTTTAAAGTCTGCCTGAAAAGCTGAGCATATTAGCTTAATCTGTGCTGCCACAGTGGGGCAGCTGTTGGTACCTGAATTCTCTTGTAAAGCTAGCTCCGATGGTGGAGGCTGAAGATGTAGTCTGCAGGTTAGGCTAAGAGTTGCTGTCAGATGGAGTTTATTGATATTATCTGTACTGAGCACTGTAAAGCAAGAAAAAGTACTGGTGCAAAGAATGAGACAGAGGGAATGAGCCATCTTGCAAAGGATGCTGGGCTGGGTAGACCTTTACCCTGGCTGCCGTACTTGTCTCTGGCTCTGTTACAGGTGGTCATGTGTGAGCTTGGGCAGGTCACAAAGGTACAGTTGCCAAAATGTCTCTTAAGTCCTCATTGCAGAATTTTTGAAATGCTGCCTTTGATTTCTGCACATCAGTTCCCTGTCTGTAAGTGGAGCATCCTTTTACTTTTCTAGTGCTTTCAGTATTGCTTTTAGGTCAGTGATCTTGTGGTAGGATCCATACAAAGGTGCAGACTGTGGACTTCTGGCTGACTTTCCAAAACAATATTCATGCTGAGGTGATGATGTAGTTGCCTAATGTGCCTAATGCAGCTGTAGGTTTTTTTTTTTTTTTTTTTTGGGGGGGGGGGGTGGTTTCCTGGGTACCTACTATTTTAGTAACGCAAAGGCCGTTAGATATCAGGTTCATATTGGAGAATGGCCTGAATTTTGGATCCAAAGTTAATCTGTGAAGTGAGAGTATAGGTGTTAGGCTAGAAATCTTGTGGCAATAGGCTTCTCCGAGAACTTGGTTACTTCCTACTTCTTACTAGACTAGAGATGACAGAACATCCTCTAGATCTTCTGCTCCCTGTCCCATCTGGAAAATGCAATTTAAAGAAGTGCTGGGAAAGTAGAAATAATGTGAGTCAAATTGTAGGGAGGTAGAAGAGAAGTTTGTTGAGGTACACTGAGAAACTGAAATTACTTGTTATGAATTTGAGGTGAAGGTTCAATTCCTGTGATATTTAAGCAACCTTGCCTTCCTGAGCTTGTTCCTCTGTCCTGTTCATGGCTTTGTCTGATGTCGCCTCCAGTCCTTGGGGCTTGCACTCACTCCTATAGCAATTTCTTTCCTTTGTGCCTTCTTGGAATGTTCAGGGCAGAGATCAGAGGAGCTAAGCTGCAGCTTCTTGCAAGGCCTGGATGGAAAGTTGTTGCATTTCTGAGGGTCTCCACAGCACCGAATCCTTTTTTCTGTTGTGTTACAGTGCCCCTGCTCTCAGTAAACACTGCTTATTTGGTCCCTGGGCTATGCATTTTACCCAGCTTTAATCTTGTTACTTTCTGTATCCTATAATGCATTTAAGAAACCTCAGGCTGAGTCTGTCAAGGCCGTTACTTTGATGGCCACATATTTACTGTTTTGTAAGTGAACCAACAGCATCAGCGCCACCCCAAAGTCCCAAAGACTGCACTAACCAATATGAGCTGAGCCAAAAAGTAATTACAGCTAATGTGATCTTTTGCTTGTGTGATGGATCACAGGCTATAATATTTCCTTCTTAACAAATCATATTAAAACAATATTAAAGCAATAAACTGTGTTTCTATAGCTGGGGAGACAACAAGGTAATAAAACACCCTCCCCAAGTCCCTGAGCCACCTCAGCCTGCACGACAGGAAGTACAATCTGAAAGACAGGTACCCCTTTGTTTATATTATAGGAAATCTAGAGTAGTTCATTGCTTTCAAGGGTAAGAGCCTGGATTTGTTCGTCTGTAACTGAGAACAGCCTCTTATACACACCAGTTGATTTTGCCTGTGCTTGGAAACCCAGTTTCAGCAAAAGTGGTAAATATTCATCACCGCTAACATCCCTGTCCTCTTCGTTCTCAGACCCTGTACACAGTGAACCGTGTCTTCAACCCAGCCATTGCTTATTATGTCTTGGCATGCCTCCAGCCTCTGGAGGCCAACGGAAGGTTCGAAACGCATAACACGAGCATGCTATAAAAGATACTGAATCTCCCAGAAACCTATTGCCCGTTGTCATGTGTAACACACAAGCTGATGAATGTGCTGTGTAGAGAGTAAGGCCCCAGGGCTGCTACAACTAATGGTCACGTTATTTTTTCTCAAGTTCCTTGATGGCGACCAGGACTCACACAGATTTCACCTCACCCAGTCACTTGCACTGCAAGGTGACCACTGGATCGATGGTAACAGAGTAATGCAGATGTTTTCCTTTTTGATTAATTGGTCACATGTCCTTTGCTGGAGTGCCAGCTTCTTGCTGAAAGGCTGTGAATGAAGCTTGCTATTAGAAGAAACTTGCAAGAAGGCTGTAAGAAAACCTGTTTATATCAAAGGATTGAAGCAAATTTAGTGGAAATTGGATTTTTGGTTGAAATAGTTAAATCTGTGCAAAAGGCTCGGTGCTGTTTGCTTTGATGTAAACCAGACTTACTTTGGATTAGTTTTAAAATTGATTAGGTATTAGTTTAAGCAAAACTGAAAGCCACGCAAACCACAACGTCTCTCTACGGGGAGTTTAACTACCAATTAAAAAGCCAATTTAAATCAAACTAATGCAATTTCCTTCTCTAGACAAGGCCTGAATGTGGGAAATTCAGGCACAGAAAGATACAGAGAGCAATAATGAGGAACTCGAGGTAAACAAATGACTATCATGAAGTCTGGAGGACACAAAATGGGATTCTCAGTAGACAAAAGCTGATAACAAGACACAGGCAATCAGGCTTTAATTAAAGATTTCTGGTGCTTCTGAATAGGCTGCAAATACCATGAGTATAGCCTCTCTTCTGATGTTTCACCTTCTCCGCTGTCCCACTTACAACTTAATAGAGTCAGGACACACAGGACAAACACGTGTGTGTTGGGAAATGAACAAAAAAGATTACCTTTTTCTCAAGTGTTGCGTTGTTCTGTCCTATCCAATACTCGTGTCCACCAGCCATTATGTGACCATGGTTTCTTGCATGGAAAGTGTCATCACATCATTTTCTGATTCATACCGGCTTATCCTTCAGCTATTGCCTTTTCCCCACAACACTTAGTGGTTAGACAGATTTTGTCTTTTGCAGCAGGATGAGTTCTGTTAAGAGAAAAGGAAGAGCTCTGAGTCACATTAGTTAATCAGATAAAGGAGCTGAAAGGAACAGCAGAGCGAGTATTAAGTAAAAGAAAATTACATTTGCTTGCTCTATGTGTGCAATTATACTAACCGAACTGTTGGCATAATGCAATAAAGGTATCTGCAGAATTGTATTTTTATATTAAGCATCAATTAACACAGTGAAGGAACAACTCACTGCCTCTCCCCCCCACAACAAAAGTGGCATCCTGGACAGTGATAGAAGGGGTTCTGAAATGACTGGTGGGATCTCAAGATTACATAGGCATGAATTTCTTTATTGCAGTGTTTACACTTGCTTTCTGTGAATGATTAAAAATAGTAGAAATGCAATACTCAGAATCAACACACAAACAGATCCCAACATAACAAAGTTAAAATGGAGTTACTGCTCTCCCAAGTTAACCATGCAATTAAAATAAACAGGGCAATTCACACATTTTAGACCTAAAAGTAAAAGCTGCCCACTCTTTCAGAATAACAGTTTAAATTGTGTAGAAACTGCTCTAAATTGTAGGAAAGGTTTTGAAATAATTGTGCCACCTTCTCCCAACTTGGTCTCTATTATTCATTGTTCATTTTTGTTATCCTTTGTAATTGTGAACAAACAAATTCAAAAAATGAGTAGTCTCTCTTGTTTAAGAACTTTTACTCAAAACTCCAGCTATCTCTTTATGTGAAATAT